AAAAAATTTAAGCCTTGAGTTGTAATATTGAAAGATTCTATGGGCAAAATTTTGAATGATATAGAAAGTATTAAAAGAAGATGGAAAGAATACACAGAATCATTGTACCAAAAAGATCTGGTTGATCTTCAACCATTTCAGAAGGTAGAATACGATCAAGAACCAATGGTACTGAAGGAAGAAGTTGAAGCTGCACTGAAGGAATTGGCAAACAAGGCACCAGGAATTGACGGAATACCCATTGAGATGTTTCAACAAATGAATGCCCCACTGTAGGCACTCACTTATTTATGCTAAGATATTTGGAAAACAGCTACACGGCCAACTGACTAGAAAGAGTTCCATATCTGTACCCATTCCAAAGAAAGGTGATCCCACAGAATGTGGAATTTATCAAACAATATCATTAATATCGCTTGCAAGTAAAATCTTACTGAAGATAGTTCAAAAATGGTTGCAGCAATATATTGACAGAGAACTTCTAGAAATGCAAGCCGGATTCAGAAGAGGACATGGAACTAGGAATATCATTGCTGATGTCAGATGGATCTTGGCTCAAAGCAAAGAATACCAGAAAGATGTTTACTTATGTCTTATTGACTAAGCAAAAGCATTTGATTGTGTGGATCATAACAAATTATAGGTAACATTGAGAAGAATGGGAATTCCAAAACACTTAATTGTACTCATGAGGAACCTGTACATAGACCAGGAGGCTGTGATTCGAACAGAACAAGGGGACACTTCATGGTTTAAAATCAAGAAGTGAGTGCATCAGGGTTGTATCCTTTCACCATACTTATTCAATCTATGTGCTGAGCAAGTAATCTGTGAAGCTGGACTATATGAAGAAGAATGTGGCATCAGGATTAGAAGAAGAATCATTAACAACCTGTGATACTCTGATGACACAACTTTGCTTGCTGAAAGTGAGGATGACTTGAAGTACTTACTGATGAAGATCATAGAATACAGTCTGTAGTTGGATTACATCTCAACATAAAGAAAACAAAAATCCTCACAACTGGACCTATAAGGAGCAATAGGATAATGGAGAAAATATTGAAGTTGTCAAAGACTTCACATTGCTTGGTTCTACAATCAACACCAATGAAAGCAGCAGTCAGGACATCAGACAACATATAGCACTGGGCAAATCGGCTGCAAAAGACCTCTTTCAAGTGCTGAAGAGCAAAAATAATCTCCTTGAGGACTAAGGTGTGCCTGAGACAAGCCATGGTATTTTCAATCACCTCATACGCGTGTGAGAGCTGGACAATAAATAAGGAAGATCAAAGAAAAGTTGACACTTTTGAGTTGCAGTGCTGGCGAAGAATGCTAGAAGTACCACGGACTGCTAAAAGCTCTAACAAATCTGTCCTGGAGGAAGTGCAGCCGGAGTGCTCCTTGGAAGCGACAATGGCCAGACTTTGTCTCACCTACTTTGGTCATGCTGTAAGAAAGGACCATTCCCTGGAGAAGGATGTCATGCTTCATTCTGCTGTGCGTAGGGTCGCTATTAGTTGGAAACGACTTGACAGCACCTAACAACAACAACAACAAAGTTCTTAGTGAGAGCAGTTTCTTGGGAGGGCTTTGGGGGAAGAAGCCTGACTGTAGAGGAATGAATGGGAGAGAAGAAAGGGAAAATCACAATTACAAAAAACAAAAAACAACCCCAAACTCACTGCCATCAAGTTGATTCTGACTCATGGTGACCCCCTCATTGGGTTTCTGTGGTGGTAAATCTTTACGGAAGTAGACTGCCCAGTCTTCCTTCTGTGGAGTGGCTGGTGGGTTTGGACAGCCAACCTTCTACTTAGCAGTCAAATGCCTTAGGCACTGAGCCACCAGAGCTCCCCAGTACAGCATTTAAGACAGGAGTCTTGAAAACAAAAAAGAGGAGGGAGCAGTGGAGAGAATAGGGCCATAGAAGTGTTATCCATTTTCAAAATGTCAGAGATTCTCCATCTTCTTAGTGGACAGCTCAATCTGTTCATCTTGAACACGAGGTCCACTGAAGGGCAAACGCTTGATGATATAGACAAATTTGGAGGTTTACACTGGAAATTAGCCAGAAAAACGAAACCATGATTCATTCTCAGACCATGTCCATTTCTTCACAGTACCTCTTAAAGTCTTAACTCAGAGCCAGTCAGCAATAGGAAATGTGCCTAGTCTCCAAGGTGCCATCCGTTTAATTAACAGTTCATTACTGACTTATTTCAGGAATAAATCAGCAACATTCTGGTGGGTCTCCTGTAGGATCATGTTTAGTGTGTTAAGAGGTATTGCAGAAGAAAATTAATGACATCTTACTTTGATTTTAAGGTTTCTCTGACCTATGAAACCAAATACTAACCAACTGCAAAAGCTTCCTAGAAACTTCTGTACAGCAATGTAAATTTGTTTTATCCAGGTAGGCTAGTCAACAAACCATTCCATCCTGAATAACAAAAAAAAGACTGTAAACTCTCCTAATGTAAATCTCAAAGTCTCATGGCTATGGTGGGTAGAGGGCCTAAAATTACTAGCAGTCAGGCCAGAAGTAACCTGATATTTAGTTAATCTCAGTAAAGGGGTGGGTGTAGGGGATAGGGGGAATTCGATCAATCATGTTATTAGTCAACAGTTGATCTTCTATTCTTCTCCATCCTCTTCTCTATATAAGCCTTGTTCTAACTAGGTTACGTTGAGCCATTCGCTGTTTTCTAGAATCAGAACGGTCTCCTTTATGCATACAGAGTAACTGCTCAGAGTAAAATTTATGTTTCAATTTCTTTCAGTTTTGATTATTTTTAAAAGAGGCCTTTTGCATCAAGAAAGTATAATGCTATGAACTAGGGAGCCAACAAGTGGGAACTTTCAAAAGTCCTTGATAGGAGGCAATGTAATTGATCCCTAAAAGGTTTCCAAGGTTGTAATCTTTATGGAAGCAAGACTGCCATGTTTTTCTCCCACAGAGCAGCTGGTAGGTTCGAACTGCCAACCTTTCAGTTAGCAGCCGAGTGCTTAACCACTGTGGCACCTACTGCCCACTACCACTACCCACTGCTGTCAAGTCAGATCCGACTCATAGCAACCCCCCTTTGGTTTCCGAGGCAGTATCTCTATGGAAGTAGATTGCCCAACCTTCCTTCTGAGGAGTGGCTGGTGGGTTTGAACCGCCAGACTTCTGATTAGCAGTCAAATGCCTTAGGTACTACGCCACCAGAGCTCCCACTGTGGCACCAGGGCTCCTTAATATTTACTTACTATTTCTTAATTTTTTAATTTGCAACATTAGGATAACTATTACCAAGTCAGAACTTTTAAAGTAATTTTGAGTCAGGAATAAAATAAATGAAGAAAACCAATAAAATAAAAAAACTTCAGACCAAGAGACAATTCTGAAACTGACCATTTATGAAGGGCATTCTCTTTACAATGTTATCAGTATGCATGATTCTAATAGCAAATAATATTTTTCACCATTCATCCATATACAGTATAAAAATTTACTTGAGTATAAATATATATACACAAAGTTTTACAAAGACACTAAAAAGTTTCTGAACAATGAAGTTATGAGTTTAAAAAGGAGAAAGCAAGGATTAAGACCATTAAGATGAAAACCACCATACTGATACTTTAGGAAGTTCTTGAAAGAAGTGTGACCTTCAGGAAAAATCCTTACTATGTTTATCTACATTTCATAAAAGCTGGTAGCATAAGTGTCATTTGACAGAGCATTGATTATTGAAAATATATATAAAACTTTAGAAGGCATACAAGCTCGAATGCTAAAATTAAAAAAAAAAAAAAAAACAGCAAACTTGCTGAACTAAACCATTTTCAAGCACTTGAATATGCAGGCATATGGTTCCTTAACATTCTTTTGAGTACAATGACCAGTATTTATTTACAATCTCACCCTAACAAAGAAATCATCAAATTTAATTATAGTATTAGCACCCAATTTCTACTCAGCAAGCCAAAATGGGGGTGGGAAGAGATATGGTATCTGCAAGTGAAAAAAGCCAATGAAAAGCTCAGGTTATTTAAAAGAATTGTGTCCAGGAACTGCTCAGTATCACCCAAGCAAGATCACTAAGTATCTTTTCAAATTACACATATTCTTGAACAGGTCAAAAATGTCAAACTATTGCCTTAATGTAAGATCCCACAAAACAGAATCATATTATCTTTATTACTTGATTATAGATAAAGGTTTTTTTTGTACTTTTTTTCAAACTGTGAAATACAATAAGGATCTGGAATCTTTATCAAATCATCTTCCAAACTCTTCCATGGCACCTTTAACAAAACAAGCATTATCAAGCCCAATCTTTGTTCTCTGGAGTCTAAGCAACAGTTGAGTGTGATTTGGGCAATATTCAAACAGTTTTAAATTATATCATATGACACTTATTATGGAACACAGATAACACAACATGCCAGCAGTCATATTTTGGTAGCTGCTTATAATCTGAAAATAAATAGGAAAACTACATTCTTAAATATTCTATTAAAAATGGCAACCAGTTGACAATTCCACTATAAACTGCATCCTAGCTATTTGCAGAGGAGAGAAGGTACTAATTAAACTGACTGACCAGGTTTCCACTCATGAGAAAATAACTATTTACAAACAGCCAACTAGAGGTAACATCAATGTAAAGGTGAACATTTAAAATTCAAGGCAATGGAAAACGAGAAATAACCATTTACTTGGTTTTCGAATTCCTAATTTCATTCCGTTGCCACAATGTTCCAATTTGGTTAACATCCTGTTTTAAATTGCCTGCTGAGAAACTTCTGAGTGCACGTTCAGGCATTTTCAAATCAGGAGTCCATAAAGCTGACAGTGTTCATATCCAGTCAGGCCACCAACATGTATGGACTTTTGTGAAAGACTTAAGTTGATTTCTTGATTTTTATATTCTCCTGAGTAAGGAAAATTCTCTCTCAAGTGTTCTTTCACTTTCACAGATGGCCATTAAGTGCCTACTTATCTGTATTCACACCCACTGAATCTTACTGGATGTGCCTTCTTTTGAGCTCACTGCTGGAGCCAAGCCATGGAGTTCATAGACTCTCTCTGACACACCTTTATTCCTACTTGATTCAGATTGCTGCTTTTCTCTGGTACTTTGATTACACGTTTCCCCAGGTTTCAACAAATTCAGACTTTCTTCTGATTCAAAACATAAGAGAAGTGACTTGGCTAGAGATTCTAGCTCTCTGTGGCCAACTTGAGTTACTCTATTGTCATAGCTGTTGACAGAAGTAGAGGGTACATTGAAGTAATCATGAAAAGCACTGGCCAAGTTGCAGAGACTTTCAACACAATTCTTCAGAAGATTTACATCACTGTGGGATCCTATGTAAGATAAAGAGGAAAAAGCTAATTAACACTTTCAGTTCTTATCATGTATTTATTACTATTACATGATTCTGGGTATCTTTTAAGTCAAAGTGACCTTATCAAGACAATTACAAACTACTTAAGAATATTCACGTAAAGTGCTTATCTGCTAGATAAGTATCTGGTCGTAGAAGATATATTTAGACAGAATTATATAAATATTATATATATATATATATATATATATATATATTTACTTACTTACATATAATTCAATTTTATATATAATTCAATTTACACCTGCTCCTCACTTATCAACTCTCTCATTATCTGACATTTCACATCTACGACAATTCTTAAAAAATTAGTATCTATTTTGTGCATTAATGATGTATGTCTGGCAGTAACAAACTTCTAGGTGTGAGGCAAGAGTAACGCTGGCTGTGATGGTTAAAGTTATATGTCAGCTTGGCTGGGCCATGATTCTCAGTGGTTTGGCAGATATGTAATGATGTAATTTGGTAAGGATGTAGTCATCCCCCATTTTTGCATAACGCTGATTTTCACATAACGACCTGTCTTTGGAACCTAACCATGTTGGTAAGTGAGGAATGGGTACATTCAAGTCCCTATAATGGGAATTAGTATCAATGAAGCAGCATTAGTTAGGCTTTGGTTAATGACTTGGACAAAAAATGAAGAATAATGTCTAGATTCCTTAAAATATGAAATTCTGATTAACTACAAATTCCATTTGGAGTATATACCTCTCAATGCAGAAACAATAATTTGAATAGCTTGTTCTAAGCAATGTTTTAACTTCAAGAATTCTGAAGCAAAGTTAAACATCTTCTTCAGATCTTTGTATTCACAGTTTTCTTCTTGTACTTGAGCTCTGAAACTTTTCTGTGTAAATAAAGTTAATATTATTTAAATTCATATAATAAATACTATTATTTAATTGATACATAGCAATAAGGTTTATTCAATATGATTTAATATGGCCAGACCCTTATCTTTAAGAAAGTGAGTGAGTTTAAATTTTCTTACCAGTGCTTAACTTTATTTCTATAAGTAAGATCAAAATACATTAACAAATATTGTTTTGTAAAAGAAATAAGAATTTTCAAATAAATTTTAATAAATAAATGATTTTTTAAGTCAAAGTCCTATTATCCTATGACCTGAAAATAAAGCAAAAGTATTTATTATCCATTATCACAAAAGATAAGGAGCTCTGGGGCATAGTGCCTAAGGCATTTGACTGCTAACCAAAAGGTTGGTGATTCAAACCCACCAGCCACTCCACAGAAGGAAGACTGGGCAATCTACTTCGGTAAAGATTTACTGCCTCAGAAACCCAAAGGGGGTCGCTATGAGTCAGAATTGACTCAATGGTAGTACATTTGTTTTTTGATCATAAAAGATATTAATATTTATTATATTAAAACACATTATTATTTACTTTTTAAAGGTTCATCTTCATAATATCTCATTTATTTAAGTAAAAAATTTTAAGCCATATGAATTATTCTATTTAACATAATTTACATTTTTCAGGAGCCCTGGTAGCACTGTGGCTAAATGGTTGGCTGCTAACTGAAAAGGTCAGTGGTTAGAACCCACCACCACTCCTTGGAAGAGAGATGTGACAGTCTGCTTCCATAAAGATTACAGCCTAAAAGTTCCATAGGGCAGTTCTACTCAGTTCAATAGGGTCACTGTGAGTCAGAAATGACTCAATGACAACAGGTTTACATTTTTCTAGCTCCTATACATGGGAATAAAATAATTTATCAAATCCACCTGCATTTTAAGATCTTTAAGCATACAGATTATTAAATACAATTTATTTTTTAGCCTATAATGACCATCTAAGCACAAGCTGACAGTTACCAAACTAGTAATAGTAAAACCAGAAAGAATATATTATTAATCAATTTCTACACAATCCCTTATCTATTTAAGTTATAGTATCCAAAAGGAAATAGCTAGAGAGCTATTGTACACATTTCAATTAAACATGCACAAGGGAGTCTCTGGCTCAAGATAAAAACTGAAATAAAACACACTAAACAAAATTAAACTTCAAAACAATTTAAAGCTTCTCTTACCCTTTTCCATTCAGCAAAAACATTTTCAAGAGAACAAATCAATTCCATGGCATTAGTTTTCATCTGTTTCATAACCTATACGGAACATTAAAATAACTTACATAAACAATTATTTATAAGTATAAAAATCCAAGAACTGTATGGGCTCAGATAAGGAAGAGTTCTAGTGTATAAGTCAGAACACTGAACTTGTATCTCTGGGACTGTAATTAAATAGCTATTGTTGTTGTTGTTGTTGTTGTTGTTATGTGCCGTCGAGTTGGCCACGACTCATAGCGACCACTCCTTGGGTTGCTGAGGCAGTATCACTACGGAAGTAGATTGCCCAACCTTCCTTCCAAGGAGTGGCTGGTGGGTTTGAACCGCTACCCTTCTGGTTAGCAGTCAAGTGCCTTAGGCACTATGGTACCAGATAAATTAAATAGCTAGCGAGTACCAAAATCATGTAACTGGAATTCCTTACCAAATAAATTATACATTGATTTCTTTCTTTCTTTTTTTTTTTTTTAATTGTGATTTAGGTGAAGATTTACAGAGCAAATTCACTTTCCATACAGAAGTTCACATATACTTTGTCTTATGTCATTGAGTTTACCACAGTGCAACAGCTCCCTTCCCACTTCCTCTCCATAGTTACCTCTTCCCTGTGTCTATCCCTCCATACACTCCTGCCCTCTGAGCTATCTCCCCGTGCATAAGCAGCCCTTCTTTCTTCCATGATTGTTCTCTCCAAGAAGTGTATCTACTTGAGGTAAATGTTTAACTCATATGCCTGTTTTTTGTTTGGCTGGACACCACAGGTGTGGGTTCAATTCCAGACTGGAAGGTCAGCTAGGGGCCATAGTCTCAGTGGTCCCACCAGGCTTTATCGGACCAGCAAATCTGGTCACCCCCCCTTTTCTTTCCCCAAATGATTTTGAGTTTGGTTCCACATTGTTCTCCCTCTCTATCCAGGATCTCCTACATAGATCCCCTTCCAAGGGGATGACAGTGGTAGCCAGGCACCATCTAGTTCTTCTGGTCTCATAGTTGTA